ACAATATAACTCTAAAATTGTGTAACACCGGTTTTTACATAGCAGGACACTGTACGTAAGTGGATGAAAGCATGTGTTTGCGGGGGAGTTTAGCCTTAAGGGAGATTAGAGGTGATCGCAGATTGTGATTCTTTATAATAAATAGCTCTCTAAGGTTACAGCAGTCCTACGGTATGTTTGTGTAAACAAGACCTGGGGGCTGTATGCAGAGATGTGTGTTCTTCCCTGAGCAGATTTTCCCCTGGGCTTTAGATCTCCACTGCCTCCCTGTCAGCTATTCCTTTTAGACAAGACCTCACAACAGGGCTGGTAAAAGGAAGCTAGTTTGACTAATTAATCTTTGCAAATATTTTTCTTTTCTCCATGTGGTACCACATGGTTCAACAGAAATCAACATTTTTCAGGGACAATCACCCATATTGTTTCCAGAGGCTATTGATATGCAAATACATCTGATAGTAAAGATATTTTGATTGACTACGAATCTAGAAGCAGAGAAAGCTGTGTGCGTACGTGTGTACATGCGTGCGTGTGTGTCTGGGTGCATAATGTGACTGTGCGTGTGTGTATGTGCGTGGGTGTGCATAATAGCTCCGATTCGATTCTGTGTAAGTGCACTCTATGCAGTGGGTGTTCAAAAGTACTCCGACGTTCTTTTGCACATGTGTTTGCTTATTAATGGAAACCCTCTGCTAATGTTCTTCTTCTTTATTTTTTGGCACATATTCTCTGTCTATCTGTGTATGTGTTAACTGTATTTGCGTGTTGGTGTGTCTGCAGGACAGAGGATGTGAGTCCCGGAGGTGACAGGCTGCTGTCTACAGAGGAGCAGGTCACTCTGATCACTGAGAGTATGACAGTCACCTCCACTGACCAGGAGAAACTGCTGCTACTCAACAAGAACACTGAGCTCCGCAGAGTCAATAAAGAGGTACAGCATCACCTTACACCAGTGCAGATTCTCCACAGGTCCACATTTGTATTGCTGATGTTGGCAATAACATTAATTTTTTGAAAACCAGCAAAGGACTGTGGGCGTTGTGTGAAAACTGCTGCTAAGCTGTGAAGATTCATTAAAGTTACATTTTTCACAATTAGACAGCCTTTGCTTCTTCATTTTAATTAGATGCTGCTTAATAAAAAGAGAAAAGATGATTCTCTCATCAGATGTACACTGTGATGTATTTAGAAAGTGAGAGAGAGAGAAGCATAGAGTGAAAAGTGAAGTGTCTCACTTCACTGACCTAAATTCACTTCCTGATGCCCAAGTTGTTGTGGAGACAGATTGAGAATGACAGCAGTAATGATGAAATGAATGATGCTAGCGATGGCTGCAGCAGAGACGAGGGCACTGATGATTATGCAATGATGATGATGGTTACAGCTGATGAAGCTGAATGAGGACTGGGACCAGGTGTATCGCAGTGCCACGCTGGGTCTACAGCAAAGAATGGAGTCTTTGGAGCTGGAGAACACTGCCATCAAACAGCTCAACAGCAGACTGCTGCTCAAAGTCGAGCACCAACAGGTGACACAACACGACAATACTTCAAGCTTGCACATGGGAGATGGAAATGTACACATTGACCAATGGCACACACATAAAGTTCATAGCATTAGTACGGGGCCTGAAAAGCGGGTGTAAAGTAGAGCACAGTATGTGAGGGGGTTTTCTATGCTGTGGGTCATGGTATAGCAGGTACAGATGTAGGTAGATAGTTATTGTGGTTTACATGTGTGCAGAGTGCAAAGGAGTACTATGAGCAGGCGTTGATTCAGGAGCTAAAGAAGAACCAAGAGCTGCAAGAATACATCATACTGCTGGAGAGAACGATGCACCACCCAGACAAAGACTGCACACCTGCCAAACAGGTATCATACCTGTCAGTGGGTCCATGCACCTGATCAGTTTGTACATTTTCATTTCTGTCAATATTCTCTGATCTGAGTATCATACATCTGTTTGTCTTATGTCTCTACTAAAGGGCAGCTTCAGTGCTGTAATGCGCAGCCCTGCATTGTGCCCCACCAGTAATCCTCCCAGAGGTCCCAGCCTGTCACCCAGTCACATCACCGAACACAGCCCCGCCTCATCCTCCTTTTTCCCAGCTTCTTCCAGCCCAGAGGAATGGCGGCAGGGAAGAAGCCATAGCAGCAGTACACCACTGGGAGCACTGGGAGACTCCAAGCAAGAGGTGCAGGATTTAAAAGAGCAGCTGGACACACTGAGATGTCAGGTGGGCTGCTCTCTTCAGCACAGCATCAAAAAAAATTTCCCGTTTCTGATGTGATCAGAGCAGAACTCACTGTTGCCAGGGGAAGATTTTCTTAACGCTTAAACCTGAATTAGACGGTGAACTGCACCACCAAGTGGTGGCTCTGTGCTGTTCTGAAATTTATTCCCAGTGCAATGATAAGTGTCTGCAGATCACAAGATATGGTTTGGATATTGGCTAACTGGCTTATTTTTGTCTTATGTCAGCAGACCCAGATTTATGAAGCAGAATATCAGACAGAGCATAACGACCACAAGCACACACTGCAGGAGAACCGGAGGCTGAGGAAGAAGAGGGAAGAGATGCGCCAACAGGTGGCACTACTGCAAGAGCAGGTAGTGTTTTACACGAGCTGTACTCATATACACAGACACGCATAGAAACGCACACACTTCCGCAGACATACACATGCACATGCCCTTTTAACATAAATTATAAAAAAATATCTGGAGTCTAATCTTGACCGAAAGCCATCAAAAAATGATGTATTCAGGCAACTGATAATTTTATGCAGTGCTGCAATTATTTTGTTAATCGTGTCACACTAGACTTCAATGCCATGTTGGATTGGTTAGTTACGTTAAACATGGATGTAATAGGTGGTGCAGTAGCAGTTAAAACATATTGGAGTAACCATATAATCTAAAATAAAGCGTAATGTAAATTTAAAAACGCCTCAAACCCATGAGACCAGGGATTTAAAATAATCTGTTTTGATAAAATACATCGATGACTGCCCCTTAAGGTGCTCTCTGATTTCTTAAAGATGTGTTTTTTCTTTTTCTGATTTTACTGTCTGTGGTTCTGACATTGCTACAGCTCAAGGTTTATGAGGATGACTTCCGAAGGGAGAGGTCTGACAAACAGATGCTGCAGCGGCTGTTGCTAAAGAAAACGCCTCCAAACAAGGACCCGGTCCTTATCCACCGCTGCAATAATGAGGAGCAGCCACCAGGAGGAGACAAGAGGACACAAAGTGGAGAGAAAAGAAAACAGCACCACCCCCTCTGCCCCAAGCACCCGAACAGAGACAAAGAGTGAGACTTAGGGTTGGAGAAAAGAAATGCGCGATCATGCACATAGTACATTGAGTTTTAAATGTATTAGTTTCAACCCTGTAAATGAATGTCACTCAGTGTGTCAGAAACTCTCATAACAATGAACAGCACTTTTATCTGATGTAGACAAAAAAATAGCATGTAGCTCAAGTTTATGGAAATAGCTCAATGTGGTTGTTCTCTTTTAGGGTTCTGCTTGTTACCCTTATAATAAGGACAAACCTGATCAAACACAAGTTATAATTAAAGTTAAATTGTAGATTGTAGTCTACAGTGTTTTTCTGTATATTTCATAACTGTAACAGAAGCAGTTGTTAACTTTGGCACCTATATATTTAATATATCTAATATATCTCCTTCAGTCTCTTTCTAATAAATCTCTTTCTTTAATGTTAGTTATTTTTGTTTACTCTGACTTTGATTGCTATCAAAGCCATTTAAAAAACTATAGTCAGTAAAATAAATAATTAACTGATCTAAGTGTGCTGGTGGTTTGTTACCTGCCTCAACTTAGTTGTTTCTTTTTTGTGTGATACATTGCTTTTAAGTCTTTGAAATCCTTTCTTCACAAATGCCTTGGCTCACCCAGTGTGCTGCTGAGTTAATGTTTCTCATTGTTTGCTCTGGGCACTGATCCACATTGGAACTAAAATCACTGAAACATAGCATTGCAAACAGACATCACTGAGTGGGGGGTTTTCCTCTGTAAATACTTTTGTCAGCATCCTTGGAAAGTAAAATAGAACTGTAAAATATTCTTTTAGCCTGTCTTTTGTATTAAAGGACATGGCTTAAAGTGTCCTTTTTGAAACATTTTATAACAAGTTATCTGTTATTTTGTTTTAAATTTTGTTAATTTAGTCGTTGATTTATCGATTGATCGGACACACACATATTGATGCAGTATAAAATGAGAATGACATTATGTGTCAGCAGCTGGGTGACAAAATAAATACATGAGGACACAATGAGGCAGTATCACATGTTTCTAGTCACTGGGAAGGAAGTTAAAATGTGAACATTTCTTGACCACACTGAGACAACTATCTGCATCGTGAAACTCGGTTCTCACACACAGATTTCAGAAAAGGAAGCTGACAGCTTGTTTGCAACTCAGTGCTTCTCAGTTAATAAATCAAAATAAAAGTACCTAGTAAATGGTTAAGGGACCGTTTTGGCAGACTGCCAATGTGGGCATTAGAATTTTCCCCCTGTTATTCAATCTTTACCCAGTCCAGAGAATTCACACACACATGCACAAACTGACAAGTCACCCCCAATATGAAATGTCTTTGTACTATGATCAGTCATCACTCCTCCACTCGCTAAATCCCTGACAAGGAACTGAAAAGTTGAATATACGGATGTGATGATTGAGAAAGTCTGGAAATTTCCTGCTGGTAAAATGTGACAATAGCCCTGTAGATAAAGATGACATAAGTCTGGCATGTAGCTTCTGAAAACAAAAGGTTTTGTGTAAGTTTAATCAATGAATGTCTTTGAATTCCCCACCACACCTGGACTGTACACTCTACGTCACAGGGTTTTTCCTTAAATTTTGTTTTCCTTGAAGTGTAAAATCACATGTAACATAATTGTAAGATAACGATTACGATGTAAAATGCAGACAAAGGTAGTTGAGTTTCAAGAAGGTGCTCTGTGCAGTATATAACCTCTGCCAGTGAGACTGTGGCAGTATCCAGAGTTCACACTCGTAGACAGAGGAGGAGAAGATTGAACAGGTACGAGACAATATAATGCGTCTAGCCATAGTTGTAGTCAAGAACAGGTGTAGTTGCTTTACAGATGAAGATTTTACATGAAAAAATACAAACTGAGAGTTTAAACTACCAATAGTATGAACTATTTATAAAGTAATTAGATGTAACACTGCCTGGACCAGGTACAACTCTGTGTTAATGCAGTCATTTTTAAAGATTTAAAACTCTAAAAGGAAATAATTTCTTTTTCTTTCTTCAACTGGACAGTTTTTTCACTGTTTTTGCCAAATTTACCTTTTAAAAAGGCTTTAAGTCACTTTTGCATCACTGCAGGTAGAGTGTTTATATTTCACTCACAGGATCATGGAGGTTAAAGGACAGTTTTCAGTCTTTGCCTTGTTCACTATGATGAGTGCAATGCTCTTTTCCTGACTGGTTTTAGTCAACAGATCTTACATACTAACAAAGAGACTCCTAACATGGATAATAGGTGTGTTGAGGTGTAGTCACCAGGGTTATATTGGTCTTCCAGGGCAGGAAAAATAAGGTGGTGCTCAGTACTTTAAACATGGTTAGATGTTTTTCCCATCAGGCCAGGTGGGCAGGGCAGGCTTTCTGTCTGCATAAACAACTAAAACACAACTTGTCTCGAAAACTAGATGGAAAACACAATCTTAGACAGAAAATATTTAAACTCGGCTTTCTCTCTCACCACCACAAACTCTTTCTAAGTCTCTTTCTAAATTTTGGAAGCAGAAGACCTGAGGCGTCAGCAGCGAAAGAGTCTTAAGAGCAATGACTACCTCCATGACAAAACTGCAGGAGCTCTACAACCAGCAGGGCTTTCTCTCAGCGCTGCCTGTATTGAATGAGACTGAGCTGAGGGAGGCCAAGCATGCCTTTTCTGAGCTGGAAAAAGAGTTTGGTAAGTACCACTGCAAGATGGAGGATGAGGAGGGAAGGGATGAAAATGACATTTGTTAGTCAGGAAAGAGAGACAGAATGCTTAAGTGAAAATAAAAACTAATGAGAACAATCAGGAATGTTCTTTCTTGTTCATCTAATTTCTCGTTCCACATAAAGCTAAATGAAAAAAGACAATCCCTGATGGTGCTCTATTTGTCAGTGGGTGGGTATATTATGTGTTTGTATGTTTCCAGGTGAAGAATACACTCAGTACAGCCTCCACAATGTTCACCTTCAGTATCCATGGGTGAGGAGCCTGACCAAACACCCTCACATCTTAAAAGTGGTCAAAGCTGTCCTGGGCCCTGATATCATCCTGCTGGACTCCCGCTTCATCTGCAAATACCCAACAGTTAAATCTGACATACAGGAGAATGAAGAGGGACAAACCAAAACTGATAGGAATGTTGCAGAGAATGCACTTCCATATGTGGCCTGGCATCAGGATATGAGGTGGATTTACATGCTAAAAAAGATAAACACTGAACAATTTTGTTTGGCTTTGATGTATTTTTTTTTCTAACTGTTTTGTTCACAGGTATTGGGGTATTGCTGGTGGACCTGTTCTCTCTGTGTGGCTTGCTTTAGATGACTCACTGAAAGAGAACGGAGCCCTTCAAGTCATCCCAGGTACATCAGCTACTCATTTATGCTTTTCATGCAAGTTTATGCCTTTAGCCAATGGCTATAAAAAAAACTTTTTTAACTTTTGTTCGTCTTTATGTCCTGTAGGCAGCCACTGCGCCGGCATGTTGCCCCATCATCTAGCCACTCGTCCTGGAAACATGCTGTCAGTCAATCAGGAGATCCCAGAGGAGCTAGTGCAGACTGACGAAGCTGTGTTTTGCCCTCTGTTAGCTGGGCAGATGTCTGTGAGTTTATTTATATATTACAGAGTGGGTTTAATGGTAATACAAGTTGAACTAATTAGGATTCGTGATTTGTTTTTTACCAGATTCATGATGGACTCCTGGTCCATGCCAGTGATGCCAACACATCCCAGATGAGGCGTTGTGGGTTTGTGATCCGTTATGTTCCCACCTGTGCATATCCCACACAGGTGAGACAAACATTAATATAGATTTATTCCTTTCTAATAATTTCACAGTATCAGACTTTTGCAGAGTATTGATCATGTTTATTTCTGTTGCCGTCAGGATCCTGATCGTCCCAGGAAGTTTGATGCAACAATGTTGGTCTGTGGAAAAGATCACTTCAATCATTTCACCAACAAAACCACAGGAATACTTCCTTGATTCTTCCTACTTACAAGAACAGCTACTTGTACACAGGAAGCTCACATGTCTATTCTATGTTTATGAATAATATATTTTACCAAAAATAAGGACAGGTTTCAATGACATTGTTTGTACCATATTTAGTGTGAACCTGTTTAAACTGCTTTAAGACACTAGTCAATCCATAAAGCTTATTATTGTACCTAGTTTGCAAAATATTAAGGATGTATGTACAGCTTTAATAAAGGTAAATCAATATTGAAATTTGAATCAAAAGTGGGGTATATTCTTTGTAATTAGGATTTGGATATACCAATACAAAATCTCCAAATGCAACACTCCAGTCACAAATCTGTAAAATATCTACCTAACTTATTAATGTGTAATTAAGTCAATTAAGTGACCCAAGACTTTCCTTAATATTAATGAGGATATGTTATGCACAAAAGTTATCAAAATGTTGCATAGTATACTGTGTAATATTTAAAGAATTTCCTATTCTGAAGCAACGCTAATGTATTATTATTCTCATAAATATAGCCGCGAGCGACAATGATCGGGATCCAAGCCAGTTGCGAAAAACGCAACATTTGACATTTTCAGAGGAGAAGAACAGACACAGATGACTTAAGAGATTAAAGTGATGAAAGAATTACAGCATCGCCTTGAGATCAGAGAGTGTCATTATATGTACCTGACTACTGGGTGAAATTTTCAACCCACCTGCGACATTTTGTGTTTCCAAGATTTAAAGTTTAAGCTGCACAAACACTTTTAAGCAGAGAAATATAAGAAGAAAGTGTCACAGGACTGCTATGATCAGAACACCCCCATCGTCAGCAAGTCTGACAAGGTCAACTGGGAATTTGAACCCTAGAGCTACAGATCTCCAGAGCAGGTGACTTACAGACTGAGCTACTGGTGAGAGGGCTTCTTCCCTCACCTTCTCACAAGTTGAGGTGGCGATGTCACATGTGCCAGAGCCGGATAGTTTTGTCAGTTTAAACTTAAAACGTCAAGATGTAGGTGCAGTAATTCAGAAAAAAAAACACCCATCATTCTGACGGTTTTGGGAGTTGTTGTCAATTATTCGGGTTGCATTGTATCCAACAGAGCAGCTGAGTGAAAAAGAAAATGTTTTGCATACTGTACAAGTTATGGCAGGATACTGAATATCACTGTAGACTCACCATTTTACCGATCTAAAAACCCTTTGAAACCCTTAATATCAGCCATCTAGAGAATGTCTGTCGATTTTGGTAGCATTTGAAGAAAGACTTGTGAACACACCCAAAACCAGCAGAATGATCTGTGATTTTTTTCAGAATTTTCTCACCATCTTGAGCATTTTAAGTTTAAACTGACAAAACTATTCACTTCTGGTAGATGTGATGTCACTATACCTCATCTTTTGAGAAGGTATGTGCAAACAGCCTCTCATCAGTGGCTCAGTCAGTAAGTCACCTATTCTGTTGACCTGAAGTTTCAGGGTTCAAATTCTCAGGCAACTGAGTCAGACTTGCTGACTATGGCGGTGTTCAGATCGTAGTGAGTTTAAGTTCTCTATTTCATTTGGATCCCGTGACACTTTCTTCTTATTTTTCTCAGCTTAAAAGTGTTTGTGCACCTTTAAATCTTGGAAACACAAAATGTTGCAAGTGGATTGAACATGTCTACAGTAGTCAGGTACAATATGACTCTCTGATCTCAAGGCGATGCTGTAAAAATCTAATTTGCGTTTCCCCATTATCTCAAAGTCCAAATTCTTTCATCACTTTAATCTCTCAAGTCGTCTGCATCTGTTCTTCTCTGAAAATGTCAAATGTTGCGTTTTTCACAACTTGCTTTGAACCCGATCATTGCCGTTTCCGGCTATATTTATATAATTTATTTCACACCCTGTGTATTAAACCTCTCTTCCACATTAGGTACAAACATAAAATATGGTATTTGGGAATAGTCTCCCACAGAATGTGGTGGATGGAGAAACATAACAAAACAATAATTTCTAAAGTACTTTTATTGAAAATCTCAAAACACATTGAAAATATACCATCAGATGAATGCTCAGAGATAAGACACACCGTGCTTATATAGAAAATCACAGACAATTAGTTTTTAAAGTAAATAAATACAAACATCCAGTATGTAAATAAAGACATTTTAAGCCAGTTTCAGTGTCTCTTTAACCATGACTCCTATTCCATCAAAAACTTTATGAAAGGGAGCATTGCACATGAATGCACAGGTGGTGATCAGCTTATTTTTGACATCAACATGTGCTTTCTCCACATCCGTGTTGACATGTTTGCAGCCCATCTCCTTCACGGCACCTGCTGTCTGAGCATACGGCCACCTAAAGACAAAAGGAGAGGGGGAGTTAGAACTGTAGATGGAGTTTTTTTTGTACGTCCATAAACATGTGATGATAAGAACATATTTCACGCACTTTTCACACTCTTTGTCCTGTCCCACAGTGAGCTCACAGCCGGGCAGGAGTTTGGCAGCGAGGATGGGGGAGATGCAGCACATGCCCAGCGGCTTTCCAGCTTTATGGAAATCCTTGATGAGCTTCTCTAGTTGTGGCTGGATGGTGCAGTCCTTATTCTTCACTGCCCAGTCACTCAGGTTCTTAGCCACACCAAAGCCCCCTGAATGAGAGCACACAGGATTTGTTTAGCACATCACAACAGTGGAGGTGAAAAAACTGAAAGAAATGTAAATTTTTTAACTCTATGGCTTTGACTCATGGACGGGTGAGCCCAACCTGGGATGATGGCAGCATCAAATGCGGAAACATCTAGCTTGGCCAGATCAGTCACGTCACCCCTGGCAATGCGGGCGCTTTCCTGCAGGATGTTTCTTTTCTCATCTGTAGGTTTCCCCTCACAGTGATTCACAACATGCATCTGATCTGCATTCGGGGCAAACATCTGAACCTGAAATGAAACGCCAGCATGTAGACTTTCTATATGGGGTCAGCCTCTGTAGCAAAGGACTGTGGGATGTTTCTGTGTTATCATTAAAGCCAGCTGTGTCTCAGTAGGTCAGGTATATTACAGGTTTTAAGAAATGTAGACATGAGAGCTGCAAAGCCCCTCTAAATGGCACTGGAACCAGACATTTAACATCAAATAACAGATAAATACACTCTAATATGTGTACATCTCTTCTTTTCCTGTCCTTACTTTTGCTTCAGCCCGGCTCAGATGGACAAGGACAGCGGAGGCCTCGTGGACCTCTGTGCCATCATAGACTCCGCAGCCTGAGAGAATAACTGCAACACGCTTCGTCATGGTTCCTATGAAACACACACATAAGCACATCTATTTATCTAGACTCTAAATACAAGTAGATTATCTAGACTGCATAACTTGTCTTTAATTTGACATCATAAAGTGCTGATCCATCCTATTTGTTGAAGTGAGTTCTACTTAAGGGTACTTTATTCCGCACAGGAAACTGTTAAGGGCAAATAATTGAGTGGGGCTGGTAGAGAGACATGTTCCCACTAGCAACTACTGAACTGTCCCTATAGCAATAATTTTTATCCAGAAATAAAAAATAAAACTGTCAGCCTCTGTATTTGGTACACAAACGGTCAAATTCTCTACTACACAATACGTTTTTGAAGTTTTGAAAGACTATGCTTCACAGTGGTTTGGTCTGCTTGGTGGTATCCTACCTTTTTCAGACTCTTATAGGCTACTTTAATTCTAAAATGCGACTAGCGACGGATCGAGGGAGTTATTCAGATCATCGGGAAGGAAGTGAGAAATACACAAAAGTCTATAATATTAATAATGTAGCCTATTACCCTGCTTCCTGCTCTGAGTAATCCCAGTCAGCAGCTCTCGGTGAGAGTTACTGTGGTTACTGGGACGCTCTGAAACGTCTGGACAACACAGGCGGTAGATAAGCAGCAGACGTTGAGGTAATAATATCGGTTAGTGCACGCGCTGCACAACACTGAAATATAAAAATGTCCATTTTATCTTGAGCATTTTACGCCGTTGCGTCTTTGCATTAATCTTATCAACATGTGTTTGCTAGGCTATCAGAAGAAAACGTAGGTTATGAAAGCAGAGGTTAAGCCAGTGTAGATAGGTCTTACCTAGTAGTGGGTGTCTTGGCTTTGCACGGTGTGCGGAGCTGTTCAGCAGAGGTGTGGTGATGGCTGAAAGCGAAGCGGACTCTTTATAATCCTGCTACCTGACTCCCGGTCTCCTCCCACAAGCTGCTGTCCAAAACGCTGACATCATGCACCTTAAAAGGTAACCAGTAACGCCGTTGCGATAAAATGCTGAATCATCGCTCTCAGTAGTGTAGGTTTTCAGTAACAATAAAAGTGACGTATTGAGGAAGCATTTAAATGACACGATTCGTTTGTTTCACTGGATGCATTTAAATGCTCTATTATTTGAACATTTTGATAAAGATCTGTGAATTAGCCTACTTTATGACAATAATAATAATAATAATGATCCTTATTTGTAGAGCACTTTTCAAAAACAAGTTACAAAGTGCTTTAACAAGTGTAAAGAATAATACAAAAAATAATATAAGAGCATGAAAACATTGAAAAGACTAAAATACAGATTAATATAAAATTAGTAAAATACAATAAAATAAAAGGGATAAAATAAAGTCAAATAAGATCAGGAAAGGCTCTCCTATAAAAGTATGTTTTAAGAAGGGACTTTAATTAATTAAAATGAAAAAATTACCTGTGCTTTAGGTAGGTAGGTATCATATAAATGTCAATCTGTGTGCATGTGATAGAGCACAGTTGGAAGAAAAAGATTCCTCAAGAAACATAATAGCCTACATAAGATACGCACAGATCTGTATTGCTTAAATTCTACTGGCTCAAAATGATAAATGAAATTATGCTTAATACAGGAACAATCAGTCTTGATATACAGAATAATTAATATATAGATTAGATTGATATATCGATTATAATTAGGCTAGCCTACTGTACATGTGTATATTTATCGCAATCAGCCTAAACTGTTTTTTTTTGTCTCAATATTACTCTTGAATTAGCCTGTCTGTTTCCTCTTCAGATACGGACCTGAGGATTATCCTGAGGTGGAGATTTCCTGGCAGGTTTCTCATGCGTGATGACATCACACGCAGCCATATAAAGTGTAGCCTCACGTCCTCCGAAATCCACTCCTGCAATGGCTCAGCTGCATTCACTACATGTGTCAGTCGGCATACTGGGCATCTCTGGCGGTAAGCTTTTATTTCCATACGTCATCTAC